ATTTTCTGCTGAACATAGGCTGTATAAAATATTGTCAAAATAGTAAAAAACCTTTGATAATTTACTATTTGATAAAGAATTTACGTATTTATTAATTAGGACTAATGTATACCATGATTTATAATTATGGAGTCGGTGTTGGAAGATTTGAAGATTTTATAGTTTCCTTGAGCTGTCACTTGACAGCCTGGCACACTTTTACTATGGTGGATCAAAGTATTTTGGTTTGACTATAGAGCGTGAGAACACGCACACAGTCACAATTATTTTAGTGTGAATAAAAATAGCATCGAAATTACCTAAACTTGACATGCCACGCTAGACGTAAACGCTCTTAAATGCTTGTAACCAAAAAGATAATGTACATGCTATGACAGCTAAAACTGAAGATACATTTTTGTGGCATCAAAGGATGGGTCATTTGAATTTTGGAGACATAAATAAAATGCCTAGCTGTACTGAAGGTGTAAACTTATCATCGAAAATGACCAAATGCATCTGCATAACTTGTCTTGAGGGTAAGCAAACCAGGAAATCATTTCCTAGTGAAGGCTCCCGTGCAACTGACCTATTAGAACTTGTACATAGTGATGTATGCGGGCCAATGAAACATGCTTCAATTGGAGGTGCCAGGTATGTAGTCACATTCATCGATGATTTTTCCCGAAGGGTGCATGTCTACTTCATTAAACACAAATCAGAAGTTTTTGATAAATTCCTAGAATTTAANATTTACTGACATATAATTTTGAAATGACGGTTAGGCAAACAGGGAGTACAACAGACTGTGCAAAGCATGTCACGTCGACATTTTTTGTTATAAGCTACTGAAATTTAGGCGCGCTGTGCTGAGATCCCTTACAGCGGCAGCAAATAACTAGTCACAGTTAAGTAGTTGTTAGTTTTTAAATTTGCAATCGTCTGCATTGCATGCCGTGGCAGCCTCTAATTAAGACAATACTTAGTTCTAAGCACTGTGTTTGTCTTTTTGGTTGTCCTCCTAATAAATAAAACACACTAGACACCACTGGTGTTGGCGACAGATCTGGTAACACCGATGCTAGGCCATGGTCTATGGACTGTAGCCTAGCAACGGTGTTAGCCATCTTGTTTCTCGATATATCTTGTTTTTTGGATATAATTCTGTTGCTTTGCCTTTTGTGCTTTTTATGTGATCTGAATACAGTTTCGTATTTTCAGAAGATAAAGATGATTGATGAAATCTTTCACCATTACAATTCAATTTTTTCAGGTGAACATAAAGCTAAATATATTCAAAAAATACGTAGTAAAAAGCTTTGATAACTTTCTATTTATTTATTTAGAAAGGTACACCAACAGTACATGTATACTTACACTTTTAAAAATACATTATTGGATAATTAAATTACGGATTTATTTATTTATTAGGATTCATTTATACCATAACATGATTTATAATGTTGGAGTCGGTGTTGGAAGATTTTATAGTTATTTTCAGCTGTCACTCGACAGCCTGGCACACTTTTACGATGGTGGATCAAAGTAGTTGGGTTTGACTATAGAGCAAGAGAACACGCACACAGTCACAATCTTTTAAGTGTGAATAAAAATAGCATTGAAATTACCTAAACTTGACATGCCACGCTAGACGTAAACGCTCTTAAGCACACATTAGCAGCTGTAGAACGTTGTTCACACACATTCATTATTATAATTATCTCGTAAAAATAAAGTAAGACAGAAAAACTCGCACGACAGCTCATATTGTCAACTAAACGCTTGATTATAAACAAGTCTTGACAGAATTTGCCTGAAAGCCGACGACACGTGGTTTAAATTTCCAGTTAAACTAGACTTTGATCTGATACTAGGAAGTAAGGAATAGGTTCCGTGCTCTCTCACTGGAAGTTGAACTAGCATTCCAAAGCAAAATGAGACACGAACTTCATAATTGCACATTTCTGAGAAATACCCATTACTTATGATTATGACTTCAAATATAATTTACGTACGAGTATAAAATGACAAAATATGTTATACTTGATAAGCGTAGGTCTTGGGTGGTACATCATCATCATCATTTCAGCCATAGGACGTCCACTGCTGAACATAGGCCTCCCCTAACCCTTTTCACGTTGATCGATTGGTAGCAGCCTGCATCCAGCGCTTCCCTGCTACCTTTACGATGTCGTCAGTCCACCTTGTAGGTGGACAGTTGGGTGGTACAGTCAGCGTCAAATAGTTCGTGACACCCAAAATAGCCAAAAAGTTTGAAACACGTCATTGTTACATTTGGAATAAGGTTACGTTGTCAAGTTTTTGGGCACTTTGGGTGTTACGAACCATTTGATGGTGACTGTACGAGTACATACCTGCCTAGTAAATAAATACCTATTATCATTGAAGAGGGGGGGAAGCCGGGGCATGGTCTTGGTGGTAATTGCTGACGTAGTGAGGTCAGCATTGCCTACAAAATGCCAAGAAACCATCTGCTGTGTTAAGTAGTGAAACACCGATGTAGCAGAACCCCGGCCAGTCCGCGTCATCCACGTCCTCGTCGTCCACCCTGGGACCTGCTGCAGCCACGCTTTACCTAGACTTGCAGCTGAGCTGAGGATGCAGGGCGAAAGGCGAGTATTCTGCGCCTGAAAACAGAATCCCATCACTAGGGAGGATACCCGGAAAAAACCGAGCGAGTCCAGAAGCTCTGAGGTGGCAGCCCCACCACCGGACTAGGGTACAGCAGGTTAATCACCCACTTGCCCGAAAATACTCGATTAACGAAACGAACATCATTGAAGAGGCCAGGATCATAGTGTTCGGCAAAGAAATAAGCAAGCAGCGAATTTAAGCCCCTAGCTGTAAATAAAACCAAATACTGCGTCGCATCTCATATTTTGAGTCCGCCATGAAAAATTTACTGAAAAGTTCAGTATCTATGCCACGTACTGCACTCCATGCATGTGCTATAAATGAATAAAGATGCGTTCGTGGAACGGAACTATGAATAAATAATACTTAGTCGGAACCATAGCTTACGTTATTAGCCTAGACACAGAATAATAATGCCTGTATTCTGAAATGAGGGACAAAACATTATTAAAGTTTAATCATGTTCAACCAATCCATATCCATCCATACTAATATTAAAAATGCGAAAGTAACTCTGTGCGTCTTTTAAGCTTTCACGCCTCAACCACTGAACCGATTTTGATGAAATTTGGTATAGAGATAGTTTGAGTTATGGTTGGTATGGAAACAGGGAGTGTCTGTAAGAGAGAGAATTTAGATTTTAATTTAGAACTAATTTAAAATAATTATAATGTCCGCCTCTTGGTGTAGTAGGAAGTTAATGAAGGCTACTGACACGACAAGAAGGTGTAGTAGTTTGCGTACCGGACTACTTTACTAGAGGTCGCGGATTCGATCCCCACACAACACAAACATTTATTGTGTATGAACAATGAACAGAACTAATATCTTAATATTTTTTTAACGCGCTCGCTAGTGACGACATTTGATGTAAACTCACACTAAGCCTATTCTGGTTGTTTTCTATGTACGTATACCTACTGCGTTCGAAAAATGCTACCAATGACCGGTCACAAGAAATGAGTTTAAAAATACCCTTATCGATTTCACGATGGAAAATTCTTCACACTAATTTCTAGTCTAGTCCAGTGCGACTAGAAAACGAGGCTCGGTCATATATAGCTCTTCCCTTCAACCGGAAATTGCTAGAACGAGTTCGCAAACGCGCGGCTCAATTCCAATGGCTTGTTTCAATTTAAAAAGTGCCCGTGACATTTACTTAAGTTGGATATAAGAATATCGGCTTTATTATAGTCATTTTAGTGATCTAGGTTTTGGTCTATTATTGAATATTGATATGGAAATTTAAAAAATGTTGGTGATAAGAAGATAGCAAAGGTTTTAGATAAGATAGCAAAGAAGATAGGAAAGAAGGTTTTACTAAAGTAATTTTAGTGATCTAGTAATGGTCTTAAGTTTTTATTTTGTGTTATAATAACACAAAATAAATTTTCAGTGATAAAAATATTATGAGAGCGGATCCCGCACTTTCCTCGACCAAAAATTGGTGTGGCGCGTCTTCGTAGATGACTCTATCTAAAGTTATCTGTAGTTGTTAGTCTTTCTTGAGTCCTTATTTTGTGTCATTTTTTAGTAACAAAAAGCTATTCATTCAATGTAGATAGAATACCGAACATTAAGGGTAGCTATGATTTCCGAGAACTTTTCCATATCGACAATTATTTAGTCCGAATCTTACAAAACTGGTTTTTAAAACCTTACAAAACGTAATATTAAAAACTGTTAGACGCAACAGTTTTTAATATTTCTATATTATATATCTAATTTAGTCTCGATTCAATAATTATAATCGAGTAATAAAACATAACAGTATGATGTATGTGAACTAAATCCGTACTTACCGTGTCTACTAATATTATAAAATATGCGAAAGTAACTCTGTCTGTCTGTTACCTTTTCACGCTATAAGCCACTGAACCGATTTAGATGGGTACAGAGATAGTTTGAGACCCAGGGAAAAACGTGTTATAGGATAATAGTTTCTATCCCGGTTTTTGGAAGGACTCGCGGGTTTAAAGATTTCAGTGACAGATCGAAACCCTGTTCTGAGGTATAAGAGTTGGCGCACACCTAGGGTTGCCAACCGTACTATAATATATAGTATTGTACTATATTTCGGGTCTGCGTACTATATACTGTTGAAAAAATATATAGTACGCAAAAATACTATATTTTCAACACCGACAAATCTAACAAACAAATCCTTTATTTAAAAAANTAGTTGGGTTTGACTATAGAGCAAGAGAACACGCACACAGTCACAATCTTTTAAGTGTGAATAAAAATAGCATTGAAATTACCTAAACTTGACATGCCACGCTAGACGTAAACGCTCTTAATGCTTGTTTAACGCTTAGAAACTGCTCCGTGAGTCTTAGGCCTTACACTAAATATAAATACAAGTTGTCTGCATTTCTGCAGAACAAAAAAATTTGAATAGAGGATTCACCTTCATATAAATAAGCGCCATATCTTGCTTTGTTAATATTTTGATCAATATTGTTTCTTCGACAACACAATGAAAGCTGTGAGTAGACTACAATAAGTGTTAACATTTATTTTAATGGAAAACATTATATTTTTTACTTCCTTTTAATTAATTGTTGGTTTAAAGTCAAACATTGTAAATTATTGTAATATAGGAGATGACAACGTAAAATATCCTAACTATATTCTTACGAATAATTGTCGAGATTTTGAATAGGAATTTGATTCTTTGAGTTTGTTTGGTTATAATGCTCTTGTGTGTGTGCGTGCGGTAGTTCCTATTTCTTCTATGGAACATCACATGATTGAACAAAGTAAGATTTTATTTCTTTCTTGTTCTGTGCTTCCCACAATGGTTTATGGAATACATGAAATACTTACCCTCGGGTTGAACCATCCTACTTTAACTATAACAAACGTCAAAAGTCTGTCAAAGTCCATACAAAACACCAGTTATAGTTACGGTTAAAGTTAAGGTGATGCAACTCAGCCTAAGTCTTAAGACTAGTAACAAGAGTCTCCAATACTGGTAACTGTAAAATATCCTTACTTTGCCACAACCTTTAACTTAGTATATGTGTCATAGTCAAAGGTCGATTTGCAGTCTCTTCGCGGAATGACTGGTCTATCCTAGGTTTGACCAAGGCCTTCAGGCAAACCCCGAAGTGAATTCTTATTTCGGCCTTTGACTAAGTCAAACCTAGAAGTGCCTAAACTGTTCAGTCAAACGTCGAAACTAAAATAATCTGTTTCGGGCTTTGCCTAGTCAATCCTAGAAACGACTAGCAGACTCGGTCAAAAGTAGACGGCAAATAGAAAACCGGCCAAGTGCGAGTCGGATTCGCTCACGAAGGGTTCCTCTGAGACTCTGTTGTTGTAATACTATGGGAGTTGGGAGTTGTTTTTTATGTAATTTTTTTTTTAAATAGATTATGCAACTAAATATTATGTGAATATTTCAAGGATTCACCTGATTATGTTTTAATATCGAGTAGAAAACTGCAACAAGTTACGTTTGCTGTATGGGAGCCCACCTTAGATATTTAAGTATTTTATTGAATTATTTATTTTTAAAGTGAATAAAAAACCAAATATTTTGAAAATGATTTATGAGATACGAGCCTGGTGACAGACAACCTTTAGCGAACTCATAGTAATAGGGTCCCGTTTTAACTCTTTATCCTTTAATTTAAGGTAACAGAACCCTAAAAATTAGTAATTTCAAGATCGATTTAGAAACACTGACAAACAACCTCAGTAAATAAGTTTAGTTACTCGTACCTTCACTTAAAGAGATAGCTGCGCGTGCGCGTGAAAACCGACCGTAACGCCTATGCAATAAGTTCGAGATCAGAATGAAGTATAGTTTAGTTTAAAGTCTTAATTGAGGTTTGACTAGTCAAACCCCGATTTCATTAAATTGAGTTTCGACCTTTGCCTGACCAAATTAGTTACTCCTAGGTTTGACTAACATCATTTAGTCAAAGGCCGAAATGTTTGGGCTTTGACTAAGACTTCTAGTCAGACCTGAGGATTGACTAGTCAAACCTAGGAGCGCCTGAGCTTCGAGGTTTGACTATAACATATGTATTACTTTGTAGATTTTATACAAAGTCAAGCAGAAAATAGTCTTCCAAGATTCTCATGGTAGGTAGATTTTGGGAATATTTTACGTAGTTACATTCTGTTCTAAGACAGAAAACCCAGGTGTAAAGATAACGTAGTTGTATGAAATGAATAGGGGAAAAATGTATGATGTCATGTTCCATAAAAAAATATATTATGGTGCGTCCACACTGGGCGAACGGGCTCACGCGGCAAACTCGATATTCTGCTCCTGCAAGAGCTGAGGTGGAATTGTGTAAAGCAATCGTTATCATTTGACAGTTCATAACGTACGATTATTCTGTCAAACGCTTTGTTTAACTGACTTTATCGTACGTTATGAACTGTCAAATGATTACGATTGCTTTACACAATTCCACCTCAGGGTGAGCAGGATGTCAAGTTTGCCGCGCCCAGTCCGAGCCCGTTCGCCCAGTGTGGACGCACCATTAGGGAATCAAAACTGATAAGGGTACTTTACATTGACCTAGCTAGTCAGTGCCGGTATGTGAGCGACAGGAGAGAGCGTTTTTTGTTACGTCAAATGTCAGCGAGACTTTTATTATGTCACCAAGTCGTTGCCAAAATAAAAGAAGAAGAAGTAGAAGACTTTTATGCTCTGTCACGTCATAATATGTCAAATCACCCCTGTCGTGCCGCTCCCATACCGCAGGCACTGTCTCAGTTAAACGCTACAGTACAGCTGTATAGTTACATCACATAAAGAATCTTAATAGGGATGATGACTGGGTAATGAAATCGAAATTCTATTTAGTCCGTCAGACAGATAATTAGAAAATATTAGACTCATATTTTTTATTTTTTTCCATAATCGAATATTTACAGTAAAATATTGAGTTGAAATGTCGCGTGACGTCACTTTTGAGTAAAAATTCTACTCAAGCGTGACGTATCGCGCCATTTCAACTCGATGTAGCACTGTTATTATTTAATTATGAAAGAAAATAAAAAAGATGAGTCTAATATTTTCTAATTATCTGTCTGACGGACAAAAATACGTGACGTGATAAAGGTAGCGGGAAGGCGCTGGATGCAGGCCGCTACCAACCGTGCGATGTGGAAGTCATTGGGGGAGGCCTATGTTCAGCAGTGGACGTCCTGTGGCTGAAATGATGATGTTGATGATGATGTCTGACGGACAAATAATTGAAATTTTGTCATCTAGCCTATTGCAGTGCTCGATTCCGACTCGCACTTGACCAGTTTTTTTGTTCCAGATCACCTACGCAGTTGTAGTGGTTTGCGTGGTTAGCGCCGTGGTGGAGTGGGCGATGGCTGCGCCCGCTCCAGACAACCGCCTTGGTCCAGTCCACGCTATGCTGTTTTCAGGATTTGGTAAATAAGCGGCACCTCTCAAGACTGCAGTAATGGTTTTATGATGGACACAGTAACGAGTTCAAATTAGTTGCCATTTAAAAATATGTTATCTTATTAAAATTTATGCATTTAAAAATATTTTTTCATTTACCCTACTTACGAAGTTACTATTGATACACGTTAGTATTTGGTAGGTGATCTTTTATTTTTATTATAGTCACACTTACTCGTAATATGTATAATTAAATTGTATGTAACTAACTGTTGTTGTAGGTGGACCGGTGGCCTGGTGAAGGTCGAGGGAAATATCTGGATGCGGGCAGAGCAGGAGTGGTCGTTTTATACTTTTTAGATTTTTTTTTTTCAAAAATTTGGGTTTTTTTATCGATGAAATTAAATGAAAAAAAAACGCCCTTTAAGTTTGTCAGGTCGGTAGGATAAGGTAGCTAGTAAGTTGATAACAATCATGCTGCGTATACAATTTTGGATTAGGCAGTGGCAGCGAAAATAAAACAAAAACTTATGTTTTCTTGATTTTATTTCTTAACCTAAGCTGTGTATAACACAGATTTGAACAAATGGGTACGAATAAGATTAGTGTACTAAAACATAATGGCACATCAAGAGTAACAGTTGAACAACAAAAATAGCTTTTATTTCCAGGAAACAAGGTCGATCTTGAAGTCAGTATTTAACTTGATGTGTACATTGATGAGGACAAACTGTTTCACCGGTTTTCTTCGCCACCGCGAGCTAGACCTGGCTTGCCTGTTAACATTAAATATTACCTATTGTAAGTAATTAATAGATTTCCTGAATAAATAATATATGAGTAACTCTATAATGTAAAGTCATTATGATTAAACGAAGTTTAGGGACTGTGTATGTTATTTTAATTTGTCACATCTTCTAGCCTGGGCAATGGGCATTATCTAAAATCTCTTTAAATTACTAAGATACAGATATTTTTAATCTCGTAAAGTCACTGTAAGTAGGTATAAGCAGAGTAACATGCAGTGTGACTTGATGGGATTTTTTCCCAAAGAGTCACATCCAAAAAAGTAACACTGTTACTCGTTGGGAAAAAAAATCCCAACTAGTACCAGTGTTACTTGCGATTCAATCGCACGCTTGCACGGGACAGAATTGAAGTGAATTTTAATTCAATCAAATTTTGAAATTACCTTGCTCTGTGCCGTCTACGACTTGAACTGAAACAAAAAAACGGATTATTTTGTTTATTTATACTTTTGCACACAATACAGTGGCGACCTTAATTTTTCTCACAAATAAAAAAAAAGTCGAATTCAAGGATAGAAAGATTCAGGTCTGTGATTGGTCAAAACATTGACATTCTACTAGGATCACATTCTTAAACCTGTCTCGAGTTAAGATCGATTTGGGCTAAATATGATAAAAATAAGTCAGGCAATAAAGCTCACATTACTATGTGTTACTATGCACTCAAAACTTGATTCACCTTCAAGCATAGTTTCTTGTGATTCGTTGGATTTTCGCTTCAGTCTATTCAAAATTAATAAAATAGGTTTAACAATAAATGTACTAAACTGAAGTACAAAATTGTACTCATTTAAACTTTTTATTGGTCCAAATACCTATGAGATTCGGCCAATATCTTTTATTAATAAGTAAATGAAAATAAAATAAATGATTAAATATTTGAATGATATTAAATCCCAACTAATATTATAAATGCGAAAGTAACTCTGTCTGTCTGTCTGTCTGTCTGTCTGTTACGCTTTCCCGCTTAAACCTCGCAACCGATTTTGATGAAATTTGGCATAGAGATAGTTTGAGTCCCGGGAAAGAACATAGGATAGTTTTTATCCCGGTTTTTGAAACAGGGACGCGCGCGATAAAGTTTTTCTGTGACAGACAAAATTCCACGCGGGCGAAGCCGCGGGCGGAAAGCTAGTGATTTAATATTTGTATGATTGAGAATTATTGAAATTGTCTTACTTTGTTGGCCACCGTCCACAACGTTAACTGAAATAGAAGGAAATTAGCTTTAAGTATTAACATTTAAAAAAAAAGCTTATATCCTTTAAATCTGTTATTAACTTTTAATATCACAAGAGTTTTAATTTTGATTGAAATGGAAAGGTAATTGCAAGCCAAGCTATTGCATTGGACAGTGGAATCACGCCTACAGCACATGTGTCTTTATACACCTTGTGTACCTAATACATAATTTATTATACACGAAAGTCAGTATAAATAAACTATTTTTGAAATTAGCTTGAGAAATGGTATACACTATTTATAATTTGGTGTGATAGATGATAGCGCTCTCTTTTTATTAGCGCCTCTATCAACTATACAGGCAAATAAGCTTGGCAGTAAATTAAATAAGAAGTTTCCTAAGCAAGGATGCTTAGCATAAGTATTTTATTAATTTCAAGCTGATGCTGAGAATAGAAAATAAAGTGTTTAACACAAGAAAATGTGTAACGTAACTTAGTACTTGTAAGACAAAACAAATTACCTTGATTTTCTCCATTCACGACGTTAACTGTAAAAGTAAGAAGTTATTAATTAGAATTTTACTTGTATTTTTAAATGGACATTAATACATACGTGCTCTTAAGTGTTCTATCTAAATGCAGCTTACCTTCGCCACCTGCAACAAATGGTTGGATTGAAAATACGTAAGGCTCTACGAAACTCTACAAAACTTAATAGACTAAGAGCTAGTGAACGTCAGATCTACGTTATAAAAGCTGAAAGTATTTCGGCGCATCAACAATCATTTTAGGGTGAGGCAAAGCCACGATGACCGCAACTTCATAATGCACCAACGTTCTTACCTATTTTGGGAACATGCGCTGACAAACTTTCAGCTTTTATAAAATAACGTAGATCTGGCGTTCTCTAGCTCTTAGTCTATGATCACTTTAATGCCAGTCACTAATCAAGTTTGTTGGATGACATTTCTGAGGATACTCTTTACGCAATCAAATGTTTTTAAGCTAAGAACTCATGGAAAGTTTTTTTTTGTGTTGAGCGGCAAGGCAAGAAGTCCTAGCCTAGCCACCATTGTAGATCTATTGTGATCGCTAATGCTTTCATAATTTTTGTGTGCTTTGTTTTAAAAATTTTGTATTTGTGTCGTGTGCAATAGTACTAACTATTATGCCAGAAAATACCTTTTAAAACAAATTATTTTTTTGGTTAAAATAAATTTAAAGCCAGCAGAGGAAGCTTGTGAAAACGATCCGTGAGTTTTAAGCCTTATTTAAAATTAGAATCATAAAGCAAAAAGTCTGAGGACGCGGTTTCGTCTTCATATAAATAGGTAGGCGCATTTGGATTGCTTCATTAATATTATTTTCTCAACATTGGCTCTAACATAATGAAAACTGTGAGTAAATTAGATTTTTATTTAAACTCAAATAAGTGAAAAGTCATTAAAATATTTGTGTATATTATGTTTGATAAAAAGTGTGTGTGTATTAAGAGTGATTAAATGTTTAAATTATCATCCACACATCTAATGAATGTTCTTGTTACGGCACCTACTTACCTTAAAGTATCATTAATACTGAATTTTAGAATAATTTAGTGACCATTTGATTCCCCGAACGACTTCTGCGACAAATATGGCGTTTTTTTGTTCCAGTTAATTTGCGCAATTGTTGTGGCTTTAGTGGTTATTATGATGGCTAACCAATCGACACAGGGTCCTACTAGAACTCCCACACACTTAGAAAGGCTTCAAGCTCTACTGGAAGCTGGAACCGGTAAATAAGCAAAGATTTAACGGTAACGTACCTACGTGATATCTACTAATTAGTGATAAATCAGTAGCTGTATGTTTTTGTAAATAAAGTTACATTAAAGAAAGTGCTTTTATTCACCCTTCAAACAAACTTGACTTTCACTGGTTGGGTTTTTATTGGCGGTCAAGCTGTAGATCCTGGCTACACAGGAGTTGCAGTGGTGGGAAAGAGAGGTGGGAAAGTCCCGTCACCCTTCTTTATACGAGTGTATGTACATAATAGCAGTTTTACACAGAATTAATAAGTACGTTTAACTGTAAATATTATAGGTTATTTCTTACTTTTGTTTTATTTTACTACAAATTAAGATGACACAATGAATTTCTATAATAAAATTGGAGACCTATTGGGAGTGATGGACCGAAAATCTGGTGAAAATCGCGGAAAGTATTTAATTTGGATGCGGGCAGTGCAGCGGGCCGTTATGGAAAGCCTTGATCCGAGGCCTTTGTCCAGCAGTGGACGTCATTTGGCTGAAATGATGATGATGATGATGAATCTTACCTTGAGGTTTGGCGTTGGTGACGGCGAGCAGAGCCACCAGGGCGAGTAAGAACTGCAATCGAAGTAAGTATGTAATTAATTACAATAATAACTATAAATAGTCATTTTCAATAAGGACATCATCACACAAAAACGATCTTTTATACTAGACTAATTTATTTGTTTTATAATTTATATTAATCGTAAGTTTATGGTCTTGACTTGAGACCATAAGTAGTAAGTACTTATAGGTTAATTAAATATCTCACAGAAAAGCAAGTTTCCAATTTTTTCCCTCTTTATAATTTTTCCCTATTTAGACAATTCTTTACTAAATAAGTATGATAGTTTGTTTATGGTTGAGAGATTATCAGTTTATATTGATTTAAAATTATTTAGTTTCCTTATTTTTCTCCATTAGACTACACAATCACTACTATTTGTACAACCAAATTAGCACTCTAATTATTTAATAGGAAATTCGCGTGACTCGATGTTTTGTCGTCGTTTGTGGAATCAAGGAACAGGATATCTTTATTTGGAATTCTTAGCTTGTAAATTCATTTCTTTTAGGTCAAAAAAGGATGCTTTTTATAGGCGAGGGCTCTCTCGTGACACAAGCATATTTAGCTCAGTACGAGAGGGGCTAACGGGAGTATTAGTAATTTGTTTGTGCAATAAAATAATACTAAATCATCTTTAAAAAAATGTAAAACTATCTGTTTATTTTAATAATCTGTAAATAAAGTAAAATTTCATTCAATCAAATGATTACGATTACCACCTCTGATTGGTTGTTCAAAACATTTCTCCGCTCCGGTTTACTTCGCCTTGGTGGAAGGAAACCGGGCCT